TCAAGATGTGTTCAGCTGGCCCCCTGCTTCCGGACCTCTTCTTATTCAGGTGATGCAGGACGAGCCATGGATTATTAGTCAATAGGCTCCATCGAATGCTGAGGTCCGGGCCGCGATCGGAGCTCTCAATCGTTTTCGTGCTGCCAGCGCGGATTCCATCCCCCCACCTAAACTTTTTAAGGATGGAGGTGAGGTCCACTGCAAAGCAGTGATCTCCATGTTTGTACATAACCCTGAAGAAAGAGAATGTCCCGGCTAACTGATGTGTATCGATTTTAGGGGCATTATAAAAGCAGGGCAGTCGCACCGACCGTCCTAACTACAAGGGTATTAGCTTAAAGTCCGTAGTGACAGAATCAGTGGTCTCTATTCTCGCTCGTCGCCTAACTCTCGACCGAGAATTTCGAGTTAGGGAAGAGCAGGCTGGTTTCCGCCCAGGACGTGGCTGTATAGACAATATATTCACTCTGCGGCACGTGCCAGAGGAGCGCTATGCATAATGCAGACCAACAATAGCTGTGTTCCTTGATTTTAAGTGTACGTTCGATTCAGTCGATCGATCAATTCTGTTCGGAATACTTGTGCAGGAAGGTGTTCCCACGAAATATGTAAACGTCTTCTGTGTTCTATACGTGGACACTACATGCCAATTCAGGGTCTACGGTGACCTGTTAGATAACTTTTCGAAGACAAGTGACATTCTTCATGGTTGTCCTATTTCTCCATTTTTGCTCAGTTTCGTCCTAGGCTCCATCATGGAGTCTTCCCTTGCAGAGTTTCACGAAGTGGGTTTTAAGTTGGTACCTGGTTAAAAGTTTGTTGATCATGATTATGCAGACGATATGGCCTTGTCTTCTGACGATGTTGGCGCTGCCCAAGCAACCCTGAATAGCCTATCTAGGGTACTGTTTGGTTTGCGCTTCGCACTTACGAATAGTTTTATAGGGTATAGTGGGGTAACATGGATAACTTTGCAAGAGCCACAGGATGGATATGCAAAAGAAAATTAATATCCAAATTACTAATGGGTAGACGCATTTGGGCATGCTTCTATTTGATTCATCGCAATCAGATTTCAAGCCGCATAGATAAGTTACAAATCCGGAAAAGCACCAGCCGCGCGTTTCGCCCTTTTGGGGCTCGTCTGTGGTGCTTATCCTTCGGTCCCCTATCGAGGATCGAACGCACAACCGCTAGAGGCCAACGCCAACTAGCCAGCAGCTTATGTCACTGTGACGTGGGGATGACAACCAAATCGAATCAAGCCCAAATCCGTCTACCCTTTAGTAATCCAACTCTGCGCCCTACCAGTATTCAAAATTGCTGTGTGGATTCACGGTACTATCAAGGGAATTCCCGACCGTCACGTCCAACCAATGTCCTCTACACGGGCAATAACTTGCACGGCAGTAGAGAATGGGTCGGGCTATATCGCAGTTGGGTTTCAATTCGTATTGGTCGACTGTCATCCCCCATGGCTCAGTGGCATAAGCTGCCGGATAGTTGGCGTTAGTCTCTAGCGGTCGTGGGTTCGATCCCAAGTAGGGGACCGATGGATGTGCACAAATCACGAGCCTCCATAGGGCGAACTGCGTGTCCGGTGCCTTTCCGGATTGGTAGCTTACCTATGCTGTTTGGAATGTAATTGCGATGAAGCAACTGAAATCCAATTGTTGCAAGGTGGATCCTGAAATATCCGTGGTAAACCAACTGCACTTTAGCAAACGGTTGTGTAGCGTTTAGCACTAAGCTTAAAGTCTGATAAGCTTTCGAATTTAGCGCTGTCTGGTGCGCTCACTACATAAGTTGGTCGTTCATTCCAGTAGGAACAGGTTCTAAGTGTGTAAAAATACTATCTACAATTTAAACGGGTGGGGTGAGTCATTAGTTTCGGGTGGTTGTCACGACATTGTTTGTAACAGACTAAGGTCATCAGTGATGTGCATGGGTTCGCGCTTTCAGTTAGTATCCGGTTTGCTAGAATGAGATCTACGTGAAGCCATCGGTATTCTGGGAAAACGCACTGAGTTAACGAAGACACGGTGCCCAACTGAGACCGGATAGTCCACGAGTTGCCCTTGTTGCTCTTCTTTTGGTTTGCTCCGATAGGCCAATATCTCTTTTTAAACATGGACACCAGGCTTGAATTGCATATTCAAAGTGAGGACAAGTATACTAGTTAATCTGCAATGGTACAAGCCGTCGCTCAATGGTGCGAAGAGCTCGCCTCAAAAGCCTCAGGTTTAACTTTGCTACACTTGCCGCTTTCGGATATTAGAGCTATTTGTCAAGACGTACTTGGTCGATACTACCTAACTTGTGTTTTCTAGTCAAGTGTTGCAAGACGTGTTACCGCAAACGATATGTGTTGATGAAACTTCTAGCTGTTGTTAGCAGGTGGCACTTTGCACGGTTCAGTGGGAGCAGGTTAGTTTCTTCATATTGATTAATCTGAGCCAGATCGTCTGAAGATAGACACGGTCGGATGCTGATCGCATTTCTCTCTACATTTAGCATTTTCTGCAAATGTTTACACCACGGATAAAATATATATAGGATGGACAGTTATGCAGACTAAAAGCAGTAAAGTTTCAAGAACGGATCCTTGCCGTACACCACTGGATACGCACAGGCTTTCGGAGTGAGTGTCGGCTACTCATTCCTTGATTGCACTGTCGTGTTAGTAGTCTTCCAACCAGGTAAGCAGGGAAGCGTTTTATACTGTAGGCAGCAATATTTTGAAGAAGAACCAAATAGCTGAACCTGTCAAATGCTTTAGAAAAATCTAAGTGAAGCACATTTGTGATGACTCTTTTATCAGCCGCCCTGATCCATGATTCCCGAGTAAGCAGCGAATTAATGATGCAAGATAGTCTGCGCCTGGAACCATTTTGGGCATTAGAAATTATTTGCAGACTTTCAAAGTATCGTGTCAGTTCATCTTCGATTACTGACTTCATCATTTCTGATACAACAGGAAGGAGAGTAATAGGTCGGTCGTTGGCAGGATCCGATCGCTCACCTGCTCTGTAAACTGGAGTGATAATTCCCTTTATTCACTAAGATGGAAGTGTACTTGATTCAAGCAGACTCTGTAAAATGGTTGCTTTTTCGGAGGCAAGGGTTTTGGGCAGCTCATGTCAATTCCAGGGCACCGTATTCTCGGAGAAACTGTAAGTTGCTTGCAACCGTTACTGATTTAAACTTTACGCTGGATAAGCCAACGACCTTTGTTTGCAGCTGATAGGGCGAAGTTTCAAAGGTATATTTAGACAGCGTGCCAAACTGCAGGAGTACAGGGTTAGCGATATCTACGGCAGTAGTTGATAGGCCACTGGCCGTCTTGAGTGGTGGTATTCCGGGCTTAGTCTTTTTTGTCATTCACAAATCTGTATAGTAGTTTTGTGTTACTCATACACTTCAGCACCGTGATCTTCTGCCATTCGTACTTATCCACTCTAATGTGTAACCTGCAATAGTTTCTGATCGTTTTGTGATTCTGCTATGTGTTATCACATGGACTTATCGAATGTTGCCTTCAGATCCATTTACGTGTTCTGCAAAGTGCTGCTGTAGGACCACCAGGCACTCGATGACCCCTTGACCTTTGATAATTAAGAACCCCAGGTGGTTGTTCCATTCACTTACCTTGGCAGCTGTATCAAATAGGATGGGCAAATAGCAAATGAAATCAGCTCACACATTGCAAAAGTCAGAACCGCCTTCTTGAACCTGCGACGTCTTTGGCGACCGAAGGGAGTTTCCCGCCGTCTGAAAGTCCGTGTTTACAAAAGCACAGTAAGGGTTGTACTGCTCAATGGGAGTGAGGCTTGGTCCCTTCTGTCTGAAGACCTGAGGCGTCTTCAAGTCTATGATAAACGCGGTCTGCGGAGAATTGCTGGTGTCAGGTGACTCCAGCGTGTCTGAAACCATGATGTGCATAGGTGAGTATTAGCAGTGATAAGCAGCCTAGTTCTTTAGAACAACAGATAACACTAAATAAGTTGCGCTGACTTGGGCATGTGCTACGCATGGCTGGTCAAGGCTAACCGAGGAGGGCCTTGTTTTGTCCGCCAGAAATAGGGTGGCGTAAGGCTCGGGATGGACAAAAGTTGACTTGGCAGCGTGCATTGGAGTTACTGACAACCAAACCGAGTGCCGTTTGTCCTATTCGCATTGCGTGCTGGAGTCCAATTAACCCGCCTTGTGCTTGGCTCGAGACTTTATAGGACATGGCTCGAGTGGACACCAGTGGCGCGTCTGCTGCGGTCACCTAGTCGGATTGCCAGTTTAAAGTGTATTTGGTGCTCTCTGCGAGGTATTAGCTGATTATGACGAGTGGTGGTGAAAGCCACAAGGAAGCTGTCTGGTCCATTCCGCCTTATTTCTGCACGATAGTCAACTGTTTGTGACGGTAGGTAGTCCACACCAAGTGTAGGCGCCTTGACCCTGAATGGTTACTTAGAGCATTACGCTTTTCAGGTTAGTCCCCCTCATATTCCTTTTATAATTTTTATTCCATAGGTCATCATGATTGTATGGCACCGAAGCATCAGTTCAATTGGCTGATATACTGCTGTTGTTTATTGATTGATTGTTGAATCTTTATACCCGGCGTGGATAGCGTAAGTGTACGGTCATCCATATTGCTTCCGAACTACCAGCTGTTATCAAATTACATACGAAAATATTTTGAAATTCATTTCCATAACTGTTTATTCCGTTGATTTTAGTATAGTCTTTGAAGTTTTCATAGGGATGGTGGGAAGTCTGTGTCAATGTAATGTGTTTCTCTAATACACAAGGTGGCGGTACTGAACCAAGTGCTCTTTTACAAACTAGGCACTACTGCAGTTCAGTTTTTATTGGCCTATATAATTAATAATCTGATCACCGCTGACGACGATGCAAAATATTATACATCATCTGTTGTTTAACTGCTGTCATTTACTATGAGCAAACGAACCCCTAAATGAAACTTTTATTACCTACATCAACAGGAAAGTTTCTATTCACTCACGAACCGCGAAATCAATCGGTGCCTGAATTTACTCCAGTGGTTACACTCGACTGCCACGCTGTTGGTGGACGGTCTGTTATCACATATCGATGGTAAGACTGCACTACTGTAAGCTTGTATATGTTCATTATACTGTATGAGTGAATGGAACGAATTGCTGAATATAATTAAGTCTTTTGTTCGAATGGATTATCTGTAGGTCCTTTCAAATCAACCCAATCATTTGATTTCCGGATAAGCAAAAAGTGCTGCCCATCCTTGTATGGTCTGGATTGTTGCCCAGCTAGGTTTTGCTAGCGTGAATTTTATTAAAATCACAAACTCTCCTGACAGTCTTGTTAATCATTGCTTAAACAAATCACTTACTCTATCAAATACTGCTCATGGCCTATTTATTGGAAGGTACGGTTTCGGCTAGAGGGCACCGTATCCCCTACGTCGTGGTATTGGGAAATACAGGGAACTCAGAAGATAAAATATTAAGAGCTGGTTTTGCTTTCGAACTCTGCACAGGGTCCAGGTAATGTGAGCGTTGACAAACCTCGGAGGAAACAAGGATCCGTTGCTTGTTGTATCCAGTTTCGAAAGAATCCTGACTGGACACAGCTTTGACTCAGAATATTTGAACCTAAACCAATTGTCCTATGCAGCAGGACGCTAGTCTAATGAATAGGCTGAAATGTTATTGTGAAAATCACAAAAGCATGGCATCTAGGTGATGGGATTTATGCTAGGCATATATGTGAGCTTGTTGTTGAGTCTACTCAAGAAAAGCCTTTTATTGAACAATTAGGTAAAGACTGCCTAGAGTAAAAAATTGTGTTGGATGTTTGGATGTGTATCACTTAAATTTGCCTAGATACCTGACTAAAACATACATGCCAACCAAAAAAGCCGTTTTGTCATGTTAATATTATCAACACTGTTTCTGGGAACATTGTAGTCTAAACGTTTCAGTAGAAAGTATGATCATACATTGTCGTATTCTAATTCATCTTGATCGGTCGTTGCTTGATTGAGCGTACTCACGTAATCTAATTACGGAATGCCATTGGCATTAATTGGGTCTCGCTGTGTTCAGTTAATGGGATTGAAGCTGAGACAGAAACCACAGTGTGTTCTTTGAGCACACCGTAAAACAACTCATGGTAACCCATTCGCAAACTGCGAATATGTATTTGTTGTGACAGGCATTTTCGTAGGGTTACAATATATAGTGTGCTTGGGAAGATTTGTCGCATCCAGCTTCAGTCAGAATACCCACAAACATCTAGCAGAGGCAAAAGGATGGTTTGTCTTTTTGGGATTCATTAGTAGCACGCCCCCGGACATCTCTGCCGGATTCAAACCCAGGACCTTACTCTCACGAGCATGTGAGTTATACCACTGAGCCACGGGTGCCGGTAGCGAACCGTCATGACTGAGATATAACTGCGATGTCGTGCACTTCCTCCTTCAATGAAATACGTAATTTGGATGTGCATAGAAAAGGGCTGACTCCAGCACTACGACGAACTTTGCTATCCGCCACCAATCCAGGTGACATGTAAGTTGTTATGGCGGCATGCGATGGCTTGTGAGTGATAGGTTTATCTATTTTGATTTTGAGTGGATTCCCCGCAACCAGATTCAGACGGACAACCCTCATACATCCACAAAAGCGCTGTAAGCATAATTCGCTCTATTAGGACTGGTTATAACCACCTTATACCCAACGCTACTCAATGTTCACCTTGGCAGCTAATTTGCTACTTCGATCGATGGCGGCTTGCAAAAGTAGTTGTAGCTCTGAAGGCCAGGCCTGTTCGCTGCACGCTCATAACCTTCAAGGCACTGGAGGTTGAGCCGCGCTACAGCCTCGTTAAATATTAGTAATGGTGGTCCGTTGCCGTCGCCCATGGTTCAGTGGCATATATTGCTGTCAGATTGAGTTATGTTATGGGTACGAATCCGGCTGGAATCTCCGATCGCGCTCTACTTACGAGTTATAATAGAATAAAGCAGCCGTATAGCACTTTTCTGGATGTCTAGTGACTGTCTATCTGGATCTGGTTACTAGGAATATTCTAAAAAACGCAATAAAACGCATAATATTCAATAGTACTCTATCGTATTTATAAAACCTACATTTTTAATTGATTGTAGAAGAAATAACTGCTTGTTGCTGTAAAAGATTGTGATACTGCAAATATACCAAAAAAGATCAAAAGGGTTAATTGAGGAAGCTTTGTCGCACTCGTAGTAAAAGGGATACAATAGCCAGGACAATTAGATATAACTTTTGTTTCGGCTTCATGATGAATGCTGCAGTCAGTGCTGGGCCACAACTGATCGTAATCAGAAGAATAATGCATTGCCGAAAACAGCGCTTGTTTTAGCTTTTGTTAATGTGTACGTCAATCGCTACTCATGGAGAATATACGTGTGTACTATCATTTTTACTATAAACGCTAAGACAATGCTCACAACGTTCGGGCTTTCTAATTCCTATCAGTATTTCCTTGTTTTTGCTCCGAGCATATAAACCTTACAACATGAATAAGGCGTACTTTTTGAGGATTATATCTGACCAGGTATGGCTATTAAGCAGTTATTGCGACACACACGGTATATATCTGAAAATTCTGTTGAATAGCTTAGGAGTTCAAAAACTTTACTACTTACATACTGCCATAAGAAGGGATCTCATTGCCATGTAAACCTGTGAAGCCATATATAGAGGGTGACGTTTTAGCGAGTGAAAGTAATGTTTGTGTTTTACACACATACAGCGTCTTAAGCGGCTAATCCGACGTTTAGTCAGTCACAACTGAGGTTCTATCAAAAAGCCATTACCTACTGTGCAGAAAAAGCAAAGCTCAGGCTGACGCAACAAAGCTCCCTATCTTCCTAAGTTTATTGCATTTGTCTCTATTACCCAATTTATTTTATTTCGCGTCACCGTCAGACAAGCCATTTGGGTGTAGTGGATTAAGAGATTAACATTCAGCAAATGTCACACCCAGATTAAGGTGACTCAGTTATCTAATTTAGGTTTCTTCCCTTATGTTTGCGCAATTTGGGGTTGCAATTTCGATTATGATATTGTGTACATCTAACTAGACACACCGAAGTCCATAGGAAATTTCGCAGAACAGTTTAAATGTCCAGCAGCATTTAGTGCGACTAGTTGCTATATGAGCTAGATTTACCTGAGCAGACTGGAAGGTGAACATGGTTTTGCGATGCTCTCACTTGATTTTAACAAATCAACTTTCTGTATAATAAGGAAGGTATAAGCTAGAGATAAGATACAGAGGTAATATAACAGCCTATTTGCAGGTCTTGGTGATCGTTCCTTGTAATCTAGTTGATCCGATATGCAACTGTAGCAACAACGTCATTAGCTTCACACTCAACTCATAGATGCGAACGCCCAGTAAGTGCGGGTTTGCCACCAAATTGAATTGATGTAATTGTGCAACCGCAAAAGTTTGAGGGTCGTGATTTACTTGTACATCGTGCAACACATTTGGAGTTGAAATATCCATATCTGCTTCACAACCTTTGGTTAACCTTCTTTATAAAGGACGGACTTCATGAATGTAGAACAACTGTCTCGCATATCTACACACTTCACTGGTTAAATAACTAACAAAATCTATTCGTTTTTAATTAATAACCAATTGATCCTATGAGCAAATACTACGTTTCAATAGATCTAACTAGTAGTTTCTTATGAGCGCTCATGATAAAGTATATTGGCTTGGATGAACTAAGCATTTTTCTCTTGCAATCGAAAAATTCCCTCCTATACATATATAAAAAAATATATATATACATAAGGCCCATAACATTATGTTTCCCTTGTGCAGGTTTTAACGTAGTTATTTGGTTGTGCTGTTTACGTTCGTTTGAAACTGAAATGTTTTTGCATGTAAATAAGAGCCTATACTTTACGATCTCTAAAGCTGCACTTTTGCGGAATTTCGCTTATCATTGTAGATTGATCTACTGAGGGTAGCATATGTATGGGACCGATTGAATAGCAACGTGACAATATGACACACCATTTGTATATAAAAGTGCTTCTAAATAAATATGCTAACGATTACTTAAAGTGGGTTCTGTTGGCATTAGTGGTGGTGAGAAAATCCTATATTCAGCTTGCGCGATATATGAGGCAGAGGGAAGCGGGAGTAACCGACGCAACACAATCATGGACTTATAAATATACACCGCCAAGGAAGGCACTTGTACATTTTAAACGAACAGTTGCGTTCAGCCACATACCGCAGAAAAACCAAGGTCGGTTTTCATCAACAATTAAGAATTCCAAAGTAGCTAATTGTTACTTTTATGACAAAAGAAAGTATATGTTTTATGGATGATTCATGATGGAAAGATCCTTAGCTGTTTGAGAGGAAGAAGCCTGTGGCCATATTATCCTCCGTCATCACTGTTGTGTGAGCCAACCATAGCATAATCTAAAACAGGCAAGCACAATTTTCAAACAACAGTTGACTTGCGTCAGATATTGACTGCAATGTTTATCTGTTAAGATGAAGCCGGCTGACCTTTGATTGCCAATTTCCAGGAGTCTTATGAAACGTATTCCTTCGAGATCTTCCTGATACAAAATCACCCGCTTCCCACTTCGGAGCTCACTGTGTAATCACACCCAGGAATAACACATAATAAACATGGGAGTAGGTAAACTAAATATCAGTAACATGACGCTGAAGGAGTCTTAACGATTTATTCAGTCATTGTGTAGAGAAATGACTTACAAGCAAGTATAAACGTAGACTTACGGTATGGATTGCGGTAGAGCACTACATGAGCCTGGTAGTATTCCATTTCTGAAGATCCCCTACAATTTGACAACGGTTATTGTCGCCTATCTAGCATCAAATAATACTGGTGCTTTTAAGTGAGTCAGCTGGTTCTCTTACTGCACGGTCCATTCAAGCAAACAATTCGAGTGATCTCACTGCTTAAACGGTCAAGACTACTCATCTTCATATTAGCACGACTAAGTTATACACATTGTCATTAGAACATAAAGGAGAGTAATGTTTCTACTTTTTCAGCTGAGTCACTTGTCTCTGAGAAACGCATGTATGGTTTCCCTAGACAGCTACGATCGTTAGTGAAAAAGTGCGCGTTGTAAGTAGGCCTGTGGTAGACGGAATGTTTTCAGTTGAATTCGGCTCAGTCAAGCTTTTTATTAACAGTTTGATTTGTTGTTATTTCATTGCTTATTTGCGTTGCTTTTTAGCTACCTTACGTAAATTTTGCTCAATTTCCTTGTCAATTCGTGTAAGACAAAGTCGCAGTCGTAGAATTTTCACAAAGTGAATATACTGTTTGCCACGTAGACGTGTTATGCTCGTCACCGCCCATGTATAACCGACGAAATATATAGTGGAATAATAAGTTACAGTAATAACTGTATCATACCAAACCTAATGGATGTCAGCCACTTAATTGAACGAAGGTGTATTGATATGTGCGATGCGGATTATGCACTTGACTGTAAGCCTGGTACGCGTGATGTATTATTGTTTCTAAGAGCAGCTAAAGGGAACCATATCTGTGTGGGAAAAATATGCGAGGGAGTTCGTACGCTACGGTCGAAATGAGTCGCAACAAGTATATGTGCCCATTGCGACCCGTGCGTGTAAGAATAACAGCCTACGCTAGTACAACTCAAAATCTTTCTATAATAATACCTAATTATGTCACCAATATATTTCGGTGTATTTCAGGATTAAGGATGGCAGAGACGTGCAAAAATTGAGCCACTTACAATTTCGGTTCCGAGTGTTTCCAAACGGGTCGCTTCATCTTTTCAACGTCAGTCGGTACGATGCCGGGACGTACACCTGCTGTGCCCAAACAATTCATTGGTATGGAAATGCCTCTGCAACCCTGAAATCTCCGAAAGAAACAATGGAAGCCTGCTCACAGGACGCCACTCATCTCTCCTGCATGCTGAACGTTTTGTGTAAGTTGCTCTAGCAGTATTAGTGAGTGCGCTTTATTTTATTAATCCTTGAGCAGTTTGTGAATGTTGGGACGGTATGTAACCTGTGATGAGCTGGTCACTTTTAAATAGATTCACGTGACAAGCAGTGGAGTAACAATGCAATAGCAATATTATAGGAGTGCTGGTTAAATGTTTTGCAAGTCCCAAACCAGTCTGTATGGGAAATGCGGAAATTAAAAGAAATTGAATTTTGCCGCGACGGGAAGCTGTGCAATTGTGTACTGACAATGATATTCACATAAACACACGTAAATCTGTATGCACCGCTTTCTCTGGGGCTGGTGCTCAGAGCATGTGCGTTTTACCGTTCCACAAAAAACCGGTATCATCACATCATCCAATTGACATAAATATCGTCTATCCGCTTTTTGAAAAAGAACGACATCGATGTATGAATAACATTACTTGGAAGTGTTGCACCCCTGAAAAGCTGGGGTTCTGGACAAATATTCCCATTGTCACAAGCGGATTTATGGTGTGGCCAGATTCAGACTGTTCTCTTAGTCTATTTTGGCAATATGTTTCCGGAGATTGTGCGAACGTGTCTGGGGTATTACAATGTTAGATACGGCAGGATTAGGTCCCCACGTAGAGAGCGACATGTTCCATCGACAAACCCTAGGGCTTGAAGTTTGTATGGTTATCAGAAGTGAAACTAGCCTTTTACAAATTTGGTTGCACCACGTTGTGCGGTCTCGACGACAGCAGGGTATGGTTTTAGACAGCCGGTTTTAGCCTTGCCAGTATGTGTCGCACAGTAAATATGTGAAATCCCATAAGCGTTAAGTAGTTGCGGAAAAATAGCTGGATCATGCTCTCCGGACACCCTCCGGAGGCAACCAACTTGTTTGTTCCCAAATTTGGACAACACCGATTGCTCAAAACAGTCGAGTTCACATGAATCACCACCACAACGTTGCACCCTTGGGTAGGGTCTTCAAAGTTTGATATGCTAGCCTTTGTGCAATTCGACTTGTGGAGTACATGCGCTATTTTACACTAATCTGAGGTAAATAGGAGTAGATTCATCTTTAAACACTGAAAAACTCGGTACAAGTCCCTTTGCAATAAAGCGCGGTCTTAATTTTTACCAATGTCCCGACATTCTGAGCTGATCGGTGATAACCGAAAAATTCGACAAGATGTCACGCTTGATATTATGAATGAAAGCCAGTAATAAGCGCAGCCTCACCGACTACCACCTCAGTTTGATCGGAATAAGTCATGCACTTGCACTCCACAGTTGCCGCCGTATAAAGAATTTTCCTATCCATCCTAAGACCGAGTTCCCGATTCTGTATCTTTTCGTTTTGTGAAATGTATAACAGTGGATGGAACAATGGATTCATCATAAATAAAAGGCAAACGATCGCCAATTTCCACAGGCAACTAGTGAATCCAAAAATGAATTTCTCAAGAAAAATATTAATGCGTAGTGGTAAACATCCTGCAGATTATACATATACCCATGGTTTGGTCAGGTTTTCCCCCTTAACTCAACTAATGCAGATGGCTCCATACATCATTAAGTCGAAATTTGTGTTCTGCTAACTGTGGGGCGGAGATGACAATATCGAAGTAACGGTTCACGGAGTAGATACACGAGCGCAGAAACAGTTCTGGCGGCATTCCAACTATGCAATTTGTTTAAAGGATGGTCTATCAGTGATGTATTGTAATAGTTTTATCAGTGTCGGTCTAGGTGGTTTACATACTTGATGATATGATGCACCAATATGATATCGCATCGTAGTAGACGATTTTCTTCGTTGAAAACATCTAGTATTTCGAGACCAATGTGGTAAGGGAGAGAGAACAATTTCTTATTATTTATGTCATCCTGCGTCGTGGATTCTCGAAAGCAGTAAGACCGCAGCTAAATAGTGTGAGTTAAATGTGACCACACGCAAATGTTTAGCATTTGTAAAAAGAATGTATAATCAAACTGGCCAAACGCCATCCGTCGTAAGCCCCTGTTATTTGGCTTTTTATTCCATGCATTTCCGGCCACTCCTGACCATAAGAGATAGTATTGCACGAGCATCCGAGGATCACTTCGATAAGAAGCGGACTGTAAATCGTAATTTCTTAGTAGACAATCGTAGGTGCTCAGGTGGCATACGCTCACTAGTTTCCACAAGACTTTCTTACCTTATCACTAATAAGAACAATTGAGAACACGCTGTAGTGTTAGGTGGTTGTTTACTACCTTATTTGCCCACCAACTCTTGAGGTCATTTGGAAATAGTAGAAGTTGGAGTTGAGCACCAGAAATAGCCGTATGCTTTGTACCGAGCCTTGAGGTAAGCCAGAGTGAACCTTTATTGGTACAGATAAGGCGCCAGGAACTCATATATTGAAGCGGCATTGGAGTAGGAATCATTACATGTAACATAGAACAGGGCCACCAACACTATAGCTCCAAAGTTTGTATATGAGAATGCGTGAACTAAAAGTTCAAAAACCTACGACAAATCAAAGTATTCGGCATCGAATCCTTCTACAGTATCCACAGATTCCGTGTAACTGACAAGCGTTAATAAAAGGTTCGTGATACATGAGCTCTTTTGGCAAAGTCAGTGCTGCACCTGCAGTATAATATTGCACCTTTTTAAATATCACATGAATGCATCTGCAACAGCACTTTAGCTTGCATAGGATGAAGACTAACCGAACGATATTTTGCGTGCACAGCACGATTACTTTCCTTGTAAATGGGGTGACTATTCCAAGATTCCCATTGTTGGGACATGAGTCTCGTCCACACAGCGCTGGAAGATTTGGTACAACAGTTCAGCTGAACACATGGCAGCAACCCACAATGACTTGGGTCGTATGTTATCAGGACCAGGTGAGCTATACTTTCGTAATGAGAACAATTACTTCAAACCATCCGTGGCAGTATAGGAGACGTGACTAAATCCTGGTGGTGATGTGATGTGTAAGAACGGTATGTGATGGCTATGCTTTCTGGAAAGTGCAAGCTAATTGATGTCTAAGAGTGTTCGCTGCTTCTGTAACAGTTTGCGCTAGCCCACACACGTGCTATAACGAGGGATGCCACGCTGTACTTGGTGGAGTTTGTTAACATACATGTGAAGTACCGTACGATTGCGATAGAACTTCTGCGCCAGATCCTATGGTTGTTCCAATTTCTCTTCGCGGGCAAGTCTTGCACAAGGGTTAATCGGTAACGTAAACTTTCCATTTTATGGCGGTTGCATGGAAGTTGTATATTTTCCGTGGTACGTCTCTCAGGGCCACTCATTTCCGCGTACTGCCTTTTTAAAAGAAGGATCTTAGCATGTGACGCTTTTGTTACCAGTGTGCTTAGATGATTGACGAACTCTATCCAGACGATATTGGGGGCTTTTTTGATAGAAATGACCAGTCAGAGGTCTTGATGTGGTCGGATAAAAGAACGTACATGTTAGGATGGACCAGCACGTTATTACGTATAGGGGGCAGACGGTGGTCGAATTGCAAAGTGGACATGGGAGAAAGGTGTACGTGGGCAGTAAAACATGTCACCACTTCTTAGTTGCAGGGGGCACATACATGAATCCACAGTTTGAATCTCTGGATCGGCAATGGCTTGGAGGTACAAGTCACTATGAGAGTAAATGCCTACATCACCCCCAATTATGTCCATCATTAAGTAAGGTGAACATACCAAGTAAAGCCATCTTGCTACCAGTGATTTCATCGTTCATCCAACTCCCAGTTCTTATTATGAGGTTCATAGACGTCAATGTTAGACGAGATAGAGGCCAAGATTATTTGTCATAGAGGTCCTGAGCATTTGTATATATATAGGAGATTGCTTCTAATCTCAGCTGCGTATCCCACAGAGCGAGATTTAACCGACTCTAAAATTTCACCTAAAATTTCATCACCTTGGGGCCACAACTTTTGTACTTTGATGATGATGGCAGTTTTTGTTGGTTTTGTGATGACCATGTCGTGTGAAAGCGCCTGAAGAAGGTAGCAACAAGCCTCCCAATCATGGGCTTAGCTTCCTGTAATCAAAGGCTTTAAACTCTGATACACCTTGAATACAACCGAATTTCTTGTTCCGATGGTAGTAGTCCTCGGAGTACTGCATTCCTTACCATCGCTTGCACCAAGAGACATCGGGAAGAATCTGAACACCGTACGAGACAGATGCCCTGATCAACGAAGTCAAATAGCTTGGAAAATTGTAGGTGAATGACTTCAGTTCGGGTTCACCCATACGCCATTTCCGTCCAACTAACCCCTCGGAAACATTGGGTTGCTAGTGCATCACCGATAGTAAAGGAATTCCTTTTGGTTCGATAATACAACACTAAATCTTGCTAAAGTGTCCCTTAGTAGCTCAGCAATGAGCGATCCTGTCACTGCAACAAAATTCGCCAGTGATGACCAATTGAAACGTTCACCGTAATGTGTCGTAAATGCTAGGTTGTTTATGGCTTCTGCAATCGGTAGTGGAGATTTTATGGTTCCAGACCTCTTCTTTGTAACTCTCCTTACTTGCATGGCAGTGGATGTTGAGTTTGACTATATCGCAGTTAGCCTGCTATTCGGGATGGTTCACGGCTGCCCCTTGTGGCCGAATGAGATAATTAATGATTAGTAGCATAATTACTAGCAGTTACGTGTTCGGGTAATTTTGGAGCTGCGATAATGCACACTACTGACTGTTTTCAGCGGAGGAAAACTGTAGTTTGGCGCTTTCTCGGTTTGATATTGCGCGATTTAACTTGAAAACTATGGAGAGGAAATCTAATTACATTCTAGGGAGCACAGGAAGCAGAATCGGCAGATGAAAGTCTGAGCGGCTTTCTCTTAGACATATGGATTATGGTAACCTGTTCCTACATTTTGGATCGATATTTAGATAATGTCAAGCATTATTTTCCGGAATCTGTTATATTTTGTGCGCACAGGCTATTGATTGGCACAACCGTCCTCGC